TTGGAACATGAAACATTTTTTGGGCAGCAAACTATTTGTAAGATATTTTTTGAAGAACTTTAAGCCTTAAATGGCGCATCTAGTACTACTGGAGTAGTTCTATATTAGCAAATCATTAACACAGATCAATTTTTCTGATGTGAGCACTTCATAGGACTACAGTTCGACCTGACCATCTGATAGCTGCTTAACTATTCAATGTGATTATCAGCAGAAGGTATAACCTCTGCTACTGTCCTTGTTTAAGACAATTTTGTGGACTATGATCAATACTGCGCTTCTGCTGATGCACCATACTCCTATATTTCTTTGTTCTTTCCGAAGTCAGCATATATACAGAATGTGCAAGGCACAGAACATGCACAATGTCCTTCGATCTCCGTCATAGCGAAAAGCAATTTCTACTCGTTCCAGCTACAATGCCGTTTCTTCCGTACATTTGCCTTGTCGATAGGGAGCACTATTTTCTCACAAACCCTATAATTCGGTGCCAATCACCGTTATGATGCCATCAATCACGACTGCCATATTCTTTGAAAGCAAAATTTACAGATAAGTGACCATTAACGAGGAAGTACATTTCTTTGCACTCCTAAAAACACAGTAATGCTCAGTTGTCTACGTTCAGACGATGAAAATCGAGTGATCCATTTGGGACTGGAGTATGCGATCTCTCGGTTAGGAGTCTGTTGCTCCATCAACTACGTTGCCGTCATTTTTCAAGCTTTATATACGCTGTTTCTATAAGTCGTTCATTGCGCCGCGAAACAAAAGGGCTGTACAACTCCATCTAAAAGTGGGGGCGGGTGTGCATTAATTTTTTCTTTCATTATACATCATATCTCTCATTATACATTTGTAACGCGAATATGTACGATCTCACTCATTTAGTTTGAATGGGAGAAGCAAACTATTGAATGAGTTCATTGAGACCATGCTCATGTGAAAAATGGCTAGACATTCGACAGTTATTTTGTACCATGGTTTATTTTGTGGAACGAACATTCACAACCACATGAATGGTTAGACTTTCTGATCCTCCTCCATAATGCAACGGTCAGCTACAATCTGCTGGAGCGACGCAAGAATTACCGCAAAAGTCAAATGTGTGGGGCCGCCGTGTGAAATGACTGGTGGTCCTCATACAGAGCAGCGGAAATGCTGCCATCCGAAGCAGAGGAAACGAACCCTCCATGCGTAGATCGATTATCGCGTGGTCACCGGAACAAAGAACCGTGCGTGCCTGAAGTGATTCTCAATGCGGACTAATCCATCAAAACAGATAAAGGAAAACGACTGGTATCAAAAGATAAGTTCGCGCTGTAGCGGACTGTGGAGGTTTACGGAAGCTTATTAGATAGTCATCGTTGAAGTACTTGTTTCCAGTTGCGCAAATGCGACATAAGCAATGATAAACGTCAAACGATCAACTCCCATAACCGTGTTTTCTTCGCTTGCAAAGCCGGGTTGGTTGCAGTACAATCAAAATGCCATAACCATAATCACGTATCATAATCGAGTTCTGACGGGAAAATATCATAGATTCCATTACTCACAACAGCACCTGCAATAAATAATAATTCAGTTTTGAACCAGTTTTCTTTCTGTCAATAATCACAAAATTATGACGCTTCAAACTCATCCCCAAAAGACCAGCTAATGAGCAGGTTAATATCAGAGTAGACAAGCCTTATAAATCGTTTGAGACGTGTTATCTGAATGGAGAATAATCAGACTACAAGCCGAAATGGAAGAGGGATGAGCCGTCATTCTCATTAATCTCTGACTGGAAATTACTCACTTGACACCACTGATGAGTCAAGGCATATTAACTTTGCCAGAGTTCCTATCCCCGTCATCATCCCTTAGAGGAGTCGATTACGCCGGACATTATTTTTTACTCGTTCAAGGAGTTCAAAGCCGCATGCCACCTGAAGCCCCTCGTGTAAAACAAATATAACGGTGAACAATCAAATCGAGCAAATTTCATTTCTTCATCATCTGCCCGGATTAGCTTATCCCACGTTATCAGTTGCAGCGATAGGCATAGATTGCTGTGATAACTTGAAAAAATTGTACATACAAAGCAGGTTGTTGCTATTTTGTCGTCATTAACGACGATCAGCAGAGCCTAAACAAAAGAGTAACACGGATTTATGATGTCTGTCCTATAGAAATGGTATTTCCGATTGATACCAAAAATATGCATAGTTTACATCAACTCTACACGGTGATTTAGACTATTCTATCAAAAAATCAAGCAGAAGATTATCACTATGCTAATGCCCTCAGAAGAATTAAGAGAGTGAAGGGATGGCTAAGATGTGCAATTAAAAAGTATCCCTATCGAATTTGAAAAATTTTCGATCAAAGCTAGATATCAGTTCAACATCTTCAGTGGTCAGCCTTCAACCACTGGCAAAGCACGTGCTTGACACAATCATACAGTAGGAAATAGCTACTAAAGATCAAAGTTTATGAATGGATTGGATCTTGTCAGTAGCAGTCAGCAACGTGTCACATCAAAAAACCAAACCATATACCTCAGTTTGCCAATTCAATTAGTTTTAAATGATGGATTGCGAAAATCATGAAATAAAATCTATCTCTCGCTAACCGTCATTTGATGTTATCGTATACTAGTTAATCATTTAATTAAAGAAGCCATACAGTCGAACATTAATCGGTTGACTGACGGGCAGATAGCGAGACTGAATCCGCTTCTTGCTCTTCATGAGCCGTAATAGATTGATTTGACTTTAGGCTTTCCAATCGAGATAAAATGTGACAAAAATCACCAACGACTGTTCAGGTGCGATCAACGCGAACAAATATTGAGCTTCTGCCCCCGTGACCGTAGCGACCGGAATTTTCTTTTGGCA